TTCCAGAGAAAACAGAAGAAGATTTGGTAGGTGGTTTGTTAGTGCAGTAAGTGGGGTTCATCTAGATTTGGCTGGGGACAGTGTTATTCTCACTAATGATGAATATGGTTCCTTAGGTACTTATGTCTCTTTGGGCATCTCCTTTGGCACCTGCTAGTCTTTCTGCTCTCTCTTTTTTAAAAACGTGGGAGAAAGAATACTGTGAAGAAAGATGATAGCAGTTCTCTTTCCAGTCTTAGAAAATATAAATGGATGCATCACATTTAGCCACCACACATGTAGTGAGAGATAATGGTCCTTTGCTTGTATTCTAGGTGCATTTGTGTTTGAGATGTTTGGGGTACATATGTATTGGTTTTTCATGTACTTTGTGTGCATACTGTATGTGTGATAGCATACAATCACCCATGGTTCCAGGTTAACTAAACTTCAACTGGTGCAGAATGCAGTTATGTGAGCTTCCAGAACAGCACATGTCACACCTCTGCTCCACAAGCTGCATTAGTTGCCAGTTTGCTTCCAGGTCCAATTCAAGGTGTTGGTTTTAACCTTTAAAGCCCTTTATGGCATGGGCCCAGGTTATCTGAGGGACTGTCTCTCCCCGATTATATCTGCCTGTCCCATCAAATCCGGCAGAGAGGGTATGCTTTGGGTCCCATCTGCTAGGGACTTACACCTGGCGGGTCCCAGGAGGCAGGCCTTCTCTGCCGTGGTGCCTGCCTTATGGAACATTCTCCTCCCACCCTGCCCCAAAGTGAGGTTAGCTCCATCCCTGTTAGTTTTCCAAAGTCTCTCAAGACCTGACTATGTCATCAGGCCTGAGGGTCCCAGGGGCCAATGACATTCTAAGATGGCTCCATCGTTGTGATTAATATTTACTCTCACCTGTTGCCTGGTGGTTTGTAATTTTTAATAATGACTGTTGTATATTTTTAATAATGATTGTTTGCATTATACTTATCGTTTTCCTTAATTGTTGCATGCTGCCCGGAGTCACATTTTGTGAAATGGGCAGCCATATAAACTTGATAGAATGAATGAATGAATGAATGAATGAATGAATGAATGAATGAATGAATGAATGAATGAATGAAATTCTTGTCACTTATACACCCAGACAGATTT